TAGGATTTGGTTAAAGCCCTGTGCACATGTGGCTGTTACAGAAAATAACATGGGTACTGTGTGTGTGTGACACAGCAAGTGAGTCTCTGCCAATGACAAATATAATCCCTGCCTCCTCTGCTGCATAATAAAGGTCTTTCTAGTTTAGTTTTCTTCCTGTTGGGATGCCAGTTAAAGGGAAACTTTGTGTTTTCCCATAATGACTAAAAGTAGTCATTTTGTTAGAATGGCACTCTCGCTACATATCTAGAGTAGGGCTGAAATTATGAGTTTGACAGAAAATAATCATTAATTTATTGTTTTTCAAGCAAAAACACTTCTTACATTTGATCATAATCTGCTTTTTCTCTGTTTTATATCTTTGTAAATTTAATATCTTTGGGTTTGGACTGTTTGTCAGACAAAGACATCCCTCTTTCTTGTCATTGTGATGGACATTTTGTAGAATCTTTTATCTGTTACTTTCAGCCCTAATCTGTCATATCAGTTTCAAAGTATTATAATACATTTGATTCAGAACTTCTTAGATACAATGTCATGTGTTGCAAGGCAATAAACATCCTCTGTTGTTAGTAAAACTGTCAAGAAAAGAGATTTTCTCCAGCATCGGCTAATAAGTTCATTATCTTTAAATCTTATATTTAGGATCGTCCAATCAGATGTCATTTCAAAATCTGACAGCAGCAGCGTTGCAGTAGGATGAATGGAAAAAGCTATTTGAAATAAAAGTTTAAGTCAATTTTAATTAATTTTCTTCTCAAAGGGGTTTATGATCTGTGTAGCCAAAGACACCCTCTATTCTAAGGACCTGGATTCGAATACGTACCCCAAAAAGCCCTTTAATGGTGAAACAAAGGAAGAAATAAAGTAGATTTAAAATTATTTTGTAGCTGAGCAATTCATAACGTTTAACACCCACCGTCTTCAAATCGTAACTGTGGTTCAATACCTTGCTTTGTGTTTAAGATGGGATTTACAAAACTATCCGACTGAAGCCTCCAGTCAGTTTACCTTTGATTTGATTTATAAGCTGGGATGTGATGCACCTTCAGCCCAGTGTAACAGATGAATTCATGCTATGTTCTGATCACGTCAAAAGATGGAGCTTAGAAAAGCAGATAAACAAGAGATTTAAATATTAATTGTGTGTATTATATAAATTTAATGCATGCACCACAGAGAATAGTCTAAGTGTGTCAGATCCCTTGAAGTTGAAGTAGTTTCATACACATGCTCTCTCTCTCTCTCGCTCTCTCTCGCTCTCTCTCGCGCTCTCTCGCTCTCCCCCGCTCTCTCTCTCCGTGTTCAGGGCTGCAGAGCTGATGACGAGGACGGGCTCAGTTGTGACTCTGGAGGTTGCAAAGCAGGGAGCCATTTACCACGGACTGGCTACACTCCTCAACCAGCCCAGCCCCATGATGCCGAGAGGTGAGCACACACCCACACATGCTAAATGTGTAGTGGGAGTTTACTTTAATATCTCCTCATTTTACTGTTTTACTCTCTTTTATGCTTCAGACTCAATACTGACATAATATTTTATATGTTCAGGGTTTCCTTGGAGCCAATTAGAGGTCTGAAAATACATTAGATGTGTTTAAGTTAGGAACCAACAGAATTATTCTAGTAAATCTGCATTTCTTTTTATTAATTTGTCTGTTTTCCTTAAGATTATGAAGAACCTTGTTTATGTGAATGGTGTTTAATGGTCATTTGTCAAGCAACAATGTTGATCATTCTCTGGTTCCAGCTTCTCTAGTGTGAGGATTTCGCTCATTTTCGCTCATTATAAATTTAATATTTTTGGTTTTGAACTGTTAGTCAGACAAAACAGTTAATTTAAATATATCAATATGTGCTCTGAATGATTGTGATTGTGGATTTAACCAATTCATTGATAAAATAATTGGCAGATTAAAACCTGCTGTGTGGAACTTTTGTCTCTTCTGGCAGTGAGAGTGATTACACACTGCGTCGCGCCCTTATGACGTTTCAAAACATTCATTTAGTATTTTTACTATTTTACAAATACACGACATCCGTGTCTGCCTTCAGTCTTCTGTTCTTTCCAACGAGGAAAAGCTTTGAGACTAATCCTTCCTCTGAACGCCCAGTTTCTGTTTCACTTGGAGCATCGGTAACTTTACTTGGACAATTCTTATGTTATTCTGCCATACTCCTAGATACTGTAGCCTAATCGCTACGGTTGCTCCCCGCTTCAGCACTGACGAACCAATCATTGCTGGGCGACATAAAAAGCCTCACTATCGATGTCGCCACTGAAAACCAGATTTAAAAACTCTGGTAAACTGCAAAATAAACAGAGATTCCCCTGGTGTTGATGAGATTAACTAGCATTGTGTGCAACTTGTTTGGCAAAGGGCTTGAATGTAATGGAAGTTCATTTATATGTAGAAGTCCTGCACTCCAGCTTTAATCAGTGATGAACCAATACAGTTGAAGTACAATATGTATTTCAGCTGTTTATCACAAAGCACTAATTTACAATCAACCATGTTATAAAAGACTTCAATTAAAAGCCATTTCAAAAGATCACAGACATATATTTGGCTTCCTAAACCCTGCAGATTTCTGTCGTTTAATAGCCGTGATGAATGGACTATTGTTAGTTCCACCATTAGTTAATGCCAGTAATTTGGTGTTGTGGATGAAAGAAGAGAAGCAGACTTGCCCAGACAGTGTGTCCTTGTTGTCTTCTCTGTAGCGCAGTAAAAGACCAGCGAGCAGACTGAAGGATATAATGAGTGTTTGTGGCCACAGCCAGATATGTGTGTGTGTGTGTGTCCAGACACGCACCCACACACATACACGGCGTAGAGTTTACTGGGGATGTCTGGCTGTGTGCTGGTCTTTGTCTGCAGGAATGTGACCCTAGATTCATTAAGGAAGTCTTCTGGCCGGGCCGGCCTGCGGTCCAGGATGACGCTAAAGGGGTGTTTCTCCCGAATTCCCTCGACCACAGTGTTTTCCAGTGCAGACAGTGAAATTTAACCACCAGGCAGTGAAGGTCGCTGGTCAATCTTCAGTAAACTTAATGTTAGGAAACTGAAGTCGGAGTGTAGATTCTCACAGACTGAGGGCGTGACTGTGCTGAAGCAAACCCAGATACACAGAAAGGGAAGGAGACTGTTAAATATTTTAGATACTCTGAATATGCACCACATCACTATGCAAAATTTACAGCAGACATTTTACTAATTTACTAACACTGCACAAGTCTGAAGCTGTCAGATTAGTTAAATAACAACAACGAACATCACGAATGATCAAAAGATTGTTTAGGAAATGTTTCCCCATGTGGTGCAGAAAAAAAAAACCCTTGTACAACCTCAGGATGGGAATCGAGAACTGGTTTCAAATTTCTGTTCATTCCATGAATAAAGTTTAAAGTGAGCAAATAGAAATGAAACCCCCGATTTAACGTCTTCTTCCCAAACTGCAAAATGATTGGTTGCCAAGGAGGCTTCATCTAGAAAACCATGACAACATAACCAAAGACAAACTGCAACTGATGAAGAATAACAAGTGTTCAGCGTACCTCTCGATTAGTCTGTGATACCTTTTCTAAAACTCTGTCATCTCTTCACCCTTCAATCCCAATTTATGTCCAGCGTCGGACCGAGGCCGCGACAAGAACGGGAAGCTGCGACCAAAGAGCGAAGGCTTCGAGCTGTACAACAACTCCGTGCAGAACGGCTCTCCAGAGAGTCCGCAGGCCGGCTGGGATTCTTACCCCGAACCAAAGAAGATGAGCGGCGAAGATCGACTCCTCAAGAACCGAGCTGACCACCGCTCCAGCCCCAACGTAGCCAGTAAGCGCCCCCCCCCCGCTTAAAGAGATTTTATCTTTTTATATACATGATTATTTATTTTCACCACAGAGCATCAACATGAAATGGCTTTAAATCCAGATTTTATCATTGAACCAGCTTAATTTAACAGTTAAATTCTATATTTTCCCCTCATTACCACTGTTTTTATTTTTGTTAATTTGTTGTGACCTCCATAATAAACCAATATTTAATTCTTCATCACAAGGATGGCTTTGTGACATAAGTTTAATATCACGTTATGTGATCAGGCCGATAACATTTCCTTCAAATTTAGGCAGTTAATTGAGCAGAATTACTCTCGTAGAATTTGATTAGGTAGACAAAGGAGAGTATCTGTGGTCAGCAAGTCATGAGGTTTAAACTTGGCATGGGCAGTAATGGAAATGGGAAAAAGAAAGTAAAACTACACTGATGTTATTTTTTAACTACTCCACCCTGATATGGAAACAGTGCTGCTGTTGGGCAATAACACTGTCTGCAAAAGTCTTCAAAAACAACCTCTGAAACCACTTTTTACTTACCAGTTTGGGTAATTTAGGATTCATCAGCGACTCCTTCACTCCCGTTAATTCAGTACTTAATTCTGAATACTGTATTTGTTACTGACTGCCTTCAACTGTACTAAATGTCTCTCCTGCCCCGTATTCAGATCAGAGCCAGAGTCCTGCTGGCAAGGCGGTGTACCCCGGAGGACCTGGCACTAAGATCACCTCCGTCTCCACCGGCAACCTGTGTGCAGACGTAGGTACCCGTGCGATTGAAGCCGGTGGCGTCTTTATGTGGAATTCTCCAGCAGATGAGACTAGAGTGACCCGAACACTCGAGGACACACAGTATCTAGAGCAGAGATGAGAAATAATTTTTCATGCAGCATCATTACTCAAAACCAACTCCTGACAAAGTGTTGCCTGTTTAGTTTTTGGGAAGGTGTCCCAAATATTTTCTTATCACGCTGTAATATCTGGTTTTATTCACCAGGACGAGCCCTCCCCTCCCCGTCCAGAGGCCTACCCCATCCCCACCCAGACCTACCCCAGGGAGTACTTCACCATCCCGGCCTCGAAAAGCCAGGATCGGGTTGTCGGTCCTGGGCCGGGACCCTCGCAGCACTGGCAGGGAATGGAGGACAGAGAACGCCTCCCTGTGGTCGACAACATCCACAACAGCATGCAGGTAGAGCAGCAATATCTAAAATGGTATCATATTAACTATTCAGTAACTTCTCTGGGATTATCGGGGACATCAGGACATTTAACATTTTTTTTCTGAAACAAATGGACACAACTTAAGTCAAATGAAATGTTTCCTGCCCTACTCCTACATCTAATTTTCCCTTTTCTTTCCTTTCATTGTCTGTCCCCCTTTCTCTCATCTCTAATTCAACGTTTTCCTCTCTCTTCCCAGCGAGTTAACCACTCCCAGGAGGAGTTGTATCCCCCTCCGGGAAGTCTGAGGCCAGACGAGCGGATGCAGCAGCACTACCAGCAGGACTACCAGCACCGGGACCTGGACTACCAACACAGAGATATTGACTACCAGAGAGGTCCGCCAGGAGGTAAGAAGAAAGAGAACCCGAGACCTCAGATCATGAGGTGGAGAGAGGATGACAAAGAGAGGGCTGTAGCACCTGATAGTGTATTAACTGACAGATTGTGTAACAGCTTAGTGGCGGCTTTCAGCATCCAAATGTTCCTGTAAATGTAATTTGATGTTTATTTGTTTATTATGTAATATATACTATTCACAATATTTCATTCAGAAGGACAAAGCAAAACAAATGACATGCACAGTCACTTGTACTCAACCCAGACAAAAAGGATGAATGTGTGTTTCTGTGCGTCTGTAGGAGGTCCTGACCACTGGGCCCCACAGCCGCAGGTGTCCTCCTCGTTGGAGTCGTCCACGTCCAGCCAGGAGCACCTCAACTTCTCCGCCTCCTCCTCCTCCTCCAACAAGACCCAGAACCAGAAGACCGGGCCGGGCCGATGGAAGACACCCAACGCCCCTCACTCTGCGCCGCCACATTCGGCCCAGACTCCATCCCGCTCTGACCTGCCCCCTCCTCCGCCCCCACCGCCAGCCCCTTACCCCGACGCCTACGACGCCTACGACCCCCAACCCGACCTGCCGCTCCCACCGCCTCCCTCCACCGTCACTCCCGTGACGGCCCAGCAGGCTGCTGACCGCAAGAAACGCGAAGAACAGCAGCGTTGGTATGAGAAGGAGAAAGCTCGGCTGGAGGAAGAGAGGTGAGGTTTCTTTGTGTTGTTTAATGTTTAACACAAAGGAACATTTATTCATTTATAACTGCACTGATGTAACATTATGTCCTACTAAGTTCTCACCAGGCAAACATATGAGCAAATATCAGGATAAGTAAAAAACAACCCTTAATGCACTATGCACTACACATTTATTTAAAAAATACAGTTTATACTATTTTATAAATAACATGTAACATACCCAAAGGAGATTTTGTGGCCTTCACCATCGTTGCTTCTTCTTCAAAAAGAAAAAGGGAATAAAGATCTGCCAGTAGTGTAAATATTTTGTGCATTATGCTGTAAATCGTGTTTTTGACGATGAAATCAGGTATAATTCACACATTATGGATTAGTGTTGTCAAATTCCTTTGCTTCTTTGTCCATCAGCTCCTTCAACATCATAGTAATTTGAGTTTTCCAACCAGCCACCATCAGTCCAACAACCAGCAATTGCCGATACATTTGCCCACGTGTGTCTGCAGCTAAATATGCTAAATAAAATGACATAAAATATTGATAATGATAATTACTGACAACATTAATGATTTTCCAGGGAGAGGAAGAGGAGAGAGCAGGAGAGGAAGCTGGGTCAGATCCGGGCCAACCCCGTCATGCCCGTCCAACCTCACAACAACGGAGGATCCATGCCTCCTCCTCACCACCAGCCCCCTCTGCCCTCTGTGGCCCCACCCCAGCCCTACCTCCCCCCGCAGCCTCAGCCCCAGCCTCCCCCATCCAGACCGGAGAAACTAGCCAGCCTGCCGCGGTCAGCTGTTCCTCCGCCTGCCAGTGCCTCCAACCCTCCTGGTAACACAAGTCAAAATTGATGTTTTATATTTTATATGAAAGCTAAAACTATATTTAAATAATAAATGTATCGTGCTGCGCTTGTAGGAATGGACACGGTGATCAGGGAGCTGTTACCGCAGCAGCAGCCACGGACCATCGAGAGGCGAGACCTGCAGTACATTACCATCAGTAAGGAGGACCTAACGTCCAGCGACAGTCTGTCTCCAGACCCCTGGAAACGAGACGCTCGCGAGAAGGCCGAGAAACAACAGCAGCTCCACATCGTCGACCTGCTGGACAAAGAGATCCAGGAGCTCCAGGTAGGAACCGCTTAAACTCCGTTCAGAGGGAGTCGTTGAGTTCACGAAGGACGTAACACGCAAACTTAGAGGTGGTGCAACCTGATCCAATCCTGAGCCCGCTTTGTTTCCCAGGCGAAGCCGGAGAGAACGGCGGAGGAGAGCGACCGCCTCAGGAAGCTGATGCTGGAGTGGCAGTTCCAGAAACGACTGCAGGAGTCCAAGCAGAGCGACGAAGACGAGGAGGAGGAGGACGACGAGGACGTGGACACCATGATGATCATGCAGAGGCTGGAGGCCGAGAAGAGAGCCAGGGTGAGAACGGGGGAGGAGGAGGTGGCGGGAGAGGATAGAGAGACTGGAAAACAGTAAGGGTGGAGGGAAAAGAGAGTTAAAAGACTGTTAGGGTTATAATCATGCAGCAGCTTAAAGGACAGTAAGACCCAGAAGAGATGAGAGTAAAACAGTAGGAGAGAGTAAATTAAAATTTATAGGAAGGACTGAAGGAAGCAGGGAAGACATAAAAAGAGAGGGACAGGAAATTGGATCATGTGCAAAGGCTGTTCTGGCAGAAATAAAACGTTCTTACTTGTGTTTTTTTTTTAAGTAATTATGCCCATCAGCTCACAGTTGAAAAACAAATCTGTAGGTCAGTGCACGAGGAAGGGCGAGCCGCAGGAAATCAGGCTGATGGAAGGGGGTGTGGGGGTGTGGGGGGAAACCGGCTTTCTAATGCTAGAAGGGGAAATGAATTCCTCTGTGGCAGCGCTCCCACTATGAATGTCCTGCAATGTGCATCTGCAACATGCTTCTGTCATCGCTTTGCCATGCTGAGCTGCTTAAATCTGATTGGCTGGAGGGGGTTGGACGGGAGGGCTGTGGGCAGTTCAGGTGCATACGGAGCCCAACTGTGTGACTCTTTACTTTTCCTGTAGATTTTTTTTGTTTTCCTGCACTCGGCACATGTGCTCGGCGAGAGATAGGCGTTCGTGATTTACTGCAAACAGCTGCGTCCTGCTGCGATAAGACACAACAACACGTGGTGCTATTAGTTTAAGGTGATATCTGTTCCTACTACTAAGATTTTCCCCCCGTTGATGAGGTCAGAATTTGTCCTCACTTGACATCTTCCCCATATAATGCAGCCACAGTGTCACTGGTCCAATTTAAACAAGGTTCTCGGCATCCTGAGTGGATATTGATTGAATTAACTCATTTTAGATGAATAATTGGATGATAATTACATCCCATCTTGATTTATAACTGTGCCATAGTTATAAAAACTAATGTAACCGAGCTGTAGAGTAGCATGACGGCAGCCTTTATGCTTAACTACGCACTAAAATAGCTCCACAAGGTTTCAGGCAGATTTCTCGGTGCTTCCTGAATTTGGTTGATGTACTTTTTTAATACTTATGCAGCGTTATTGATTAATTTCTGTGTCTTAGGTATGAGTGGATGAAGCTGGTGGATGCAGCTGTGTTTGAGAGAAGGTGCTGAATGACTGTGGTTGGTTTGGTATTGTGTTGGTTTTGTTTTTTTTCTGTATTGAAAGACTTTTAAACTTTTTCTTGATTTCCTGTTATTGTTTAAAAAACTCTTTCTGGCTGGAAGTTTACAGTAAACACAGCAAAAAAAAAAACAGATTAAAGGTCAAGTTTATTTAGTATTTAGCCCAAAATCACAGCTTTGTCCCAGAAGGCTTCACCATCTGTGCAGAATACAATCTTTTTGTGATTTGAATAATACAAATTTGGATCTTAATCAAGAATTTTTGTTTATATTGTGCTCAGGTGGCCCTTTTTTTCTAAATACATTTGATTTAAGTGAGGGTAAAAGGGTCCCAGATGTTGCCCTGTGGCCCCTCAGCAGGTTATTCCAGCCACATCATCATAGGAAGAGTAAATGAAGTAAAGAGGAGCCAGAGTCACTTGACCTAATTAGAAAACAATAATTAACTAAACTAACGAATATTTCCGCTGCAAATGTTGGATTTTAGTTATTTTCTCACTTTGGTTTCTGCTAATTAAAATAGATTTCTTTACCAATTGTGTGGCAGATTAAAGTTAAAACAATGAGCTTTATGTGGTGATGAGGATTTGGTGGATTAAAGAGCCGATAATCAGCTCAGTGGAGAAAAACTTTATTTATTTATCAATGTTTTCACTTTACTGTATGCCCCCTCCCTCCCTTATTTTATTTATTTACTCCTCAGTTCCTCCTTCCAACCCCCCCTCCTCTTCTTTTACTAACTTAGTTTTATTGATATCTCCTTCACTCCTTCCTTTGCAGTATTTGGGTATTTTCCTCCCTCCCTCCCTCCCTCCCTCCCTCCTCTCTCACTCTCTATTCTCTTCTTCTTCTTCTTCTTCAGCAGCAGAATGCTGTCCCAGCTATCTCTGTTCTAGACTTGGTATGTTCTTCCTGTTGATGACGAGTATCCTCCCCCTTGCCCCTTACATCACTTCCTGTTTTCTGTCTGGGCTGCCCACCTGCCCCGTGTTTCCTATCTGTCTCTCCCCCACCCATCTGGACTACTGTCGTCGTTTCATTGGGGGTGGGGTCGCGGGTTGGAGGCAGGGCTGTGCCATGAGTAGCCAAAGGAGCAGCCGGTCATG